GTGGCCATCCAATGGCCAGCAAGCAACTACCTCACCCAGGAAGAGCGCGATAATACCAACATGGGCCAGTGAAGCAACATCCTCTACAACTAGACTGAAGAACAAAAGGACAGCAACTTGTCTGTTTCCCTTCCCCTGATTCCCCAGCACTGTTCCCCTCCCCCAATTCCCCAATAAAATCTTTTTTAAAAAAAGAAAGACACTCATGAAAGAGGACTTGCAGAACTGCTTCAGAAAGTGGCAAGAACAATGGGATAAGTGTGTTTGAAGCAAGAGGGAATATTTTGAGGGGAATTAATGGCAATGTGGCTTTTACTGTAACAATTTTTTTAAACATTCACCATATTTTTTCATCAATCCCCATACTTATCAAACAACCCAGCTGTTCCACTCCTCCATTCTCCACCAAGACATGTGAAAACTTGCGTACACAACCTTGTAGTAATGTCCACAGTGGCTATAATAGCAGCCAAGATCTGGAAATAACTTGATGTCCGTCTACATGAGAGCATGATAACTAATGTGGCATGTACTTAGTGAAAAAAGGAACAAACTGCTGACACACAAGACCACATATGATGAGCCTCCAAAAACATTATGCTGGGCAAAAGAATCTGGACCCCAAAGTTGGTATATGAATAGAATGCTGTGTGACTCTATATAAAATGCAAAAAGACAATTTTAACATGTAGTGACAAAGCAGATAGGTAGTTATCCAGGGCTTGGTGGGGTGTGGAGAGATTAACTGCAGAGGCATGAAGGAACTTTTTGGAGCAGTGAAAACATTCTGTTTTTATTGCAGTGGTACTTACAGGGTTTAGACATTTTCAAAATTCATCAAAAACTGATGAATTTTGCCTTAAAAAAGTCATCACCATTCTGGTGGTTGTTTAAAGCCTGCAGACTGGATGAGGTCATCAAGAGAGTGTGAGCAGAGAGGAAATAGGCATCCTGACAGTGACAGGAAATAGGCAGTGGGAAAGACTGAAATGAAGGCCACGAGGCAGGAGGGACATCCTGAAAGCAGGTGAACATGTTTCAAGGACAAAATGATCCATTAGTCAAGATGCTGCTGATGTCAAGGAAGAAGAAAACAGAATTGAACATTGGACTTAGCAACCTGGAGGCCACCTGACAGCGAGTTAGGCTTGGAGTGGGTTCAAGAAAGACTGGAAAGGCAGTGAAGACAGTAAGAACAGACAACTCGAGGCATTTCGCTTTCTAAAACACAGGAACCAACGCTGGAAGGTGGTAGGGAGAAGTAGATGTCATGGAGGCCTCTGCTGCTTGCTTGTACTCTCTCTGGGAAACAGGAAGGAAAGTTGTCTGTCAGGAGCGCCTGTGAGGTAAGGTTTGTTCAAGGGTTTTTAAAAGACACTAATCTTGATAAGTTATAGAATAACTTGACAGGATGCTTGTGGAATATTGTGTGTGACTTATAAAACCTCTTGGAGTCCCTAAGTCAGAGAATCTGGATTCACTCAGTGTATTTATTACATTGGGTATTAGAACACAATACCCACATATTGGCAGTATGACACTTGATACATTAGGCTGCGTTCTCTTAGAGATGATATTGCTAACTCGATTCTCTCCACTGGTCTTTGCTCAAATCACATGAAAATTTCATTCAATTACATTTACTCCTGCAACATTTATTGGGTGACACAATGCATTAAGCCCTGAAAGATAGGGGATCAGATTATTACCTATGTAAGCTCCAGAGACAACAGTCATATGGTGAATACAGCATCTCCTGACACCAGAAGGCCACTGTTTGTCAACTACTGAGGCGTCGTGGACCTACATGAACCTTTTATACCCTGGATTTCTAATGAATACCCTGGAAGCCTATCCAGGAAGGATTTTTGGCCCTATGTTAGGGAAATAACAGGCATATTTGTAAACTAGAGAGAAGCCACCCAAGTCCTCCTATCCATCTTGCCCCCTTCCCCCTGTGAGCACTCAGAGAGCACTCCACAAGGACTTCTGAATCCTGTGATCAAGCAATCTTTTCATCTAGAGAAGATAAAAACAACTTGTGAAATGGTGCTCCCATATGCAGTGGCATCTCCTGCCCTCTGCCCCATCAAGCATTCCTCTGACTTGCCCAAACCTCCAGAGCGTCTCCCAGCCCATTCTGCTGTAATCCTCAAGGTTGTGGGTGGTAAAATTCTAGGAAACCCAGGTCCCAGAAAATGCAGTCCTCCTGAATGTCCAGTCCAGACTTCATATTCCAAAGGGAGCTTAGCTCTCATGTTACCAGAAATCCTTCAGGAAAGAGAGCCAAGTAATTTTATTTTTCACTGTTTAGAAATTTCTTGATTTTTATTATCAAATATCTACTATAGAAACACTGAACAAAAGAAAAAACTATTAGGGGAAAAAAATCACTGGAGAGGCAGCGTAACACAGAGGTTAAAAACATGAACTCTGGAGTCAAACAATCTCAGTGTTACTCCTTGCTAGCTGTGTGTCCTTAGGTAGGTTTCTCAACATCTCCACCTCAGTTTCTCCATTTGTAAAACTAGCATAATAATAGAACCTATCTTATAGAACTAAGGGGATTGAACAAGTTAATATTTGAAAAGCATTTGAAACAAAGCCTAGCACATGGTAAGTGCTGTGTTAAACATTAAATTTTTAAAAAATTAACTGGGTTAATTTCTCCATGGGTCTTTTCAGTCCTTATCCATATACATTTTTTGGGTATCATAGTAGATATGTATATACAACTCTGTGTCCTTTTTATTCCTTCAGGTTATGTATATTGATGCAGTGTCCATAATTATAACTTATAGTGATTGCCTAAAACAAATAACTAATGTCCAACAATGCAGGAATGAGTAAACCACGGACAACAACATACTGGGTTATAAAGTATCACCATTTGTTCCAACAACATCAGTCTCATACTTCTAGGCAATAACATTTCCACCATTAGAAATCTCATTTACTAATATTTTCTAAGGTTAATCTTTATCATCAGTAAATATCTCATTCAATACTATTTTTTTTCTTAAATTCAGATTTAGTATTCCATATTCTATTCCTTAAAGGGCACCTAGACCCTCACATTATAATAACAGAATCTGTATTTCCATAATTATGCACAAAATGTTATTGTAAATCTCCAGCTTGATGCAAAACAGTATGTTTCCTCCTTTTCCTAGCATAAGGTTTTTCTCTTAACAATGCACTCTGATCCATAAATAGTTAAGACCTCTTACTAAAATATGTCTCATTCCCTACATTCAAGTTCCTTAAGTAGGATTGCTGGTGGACCACAAGAGGAGTTTGGAGTTTTCTTCACTGTAATTATCTGAGGTTAAATAAGGGCTACAGATCTGCTAAGTTTTCTTCTATTCTTTTTATTCATACGTTTCTTCTAAGAAGATATTTTCTATTTAGTAATAAGGGGAGAAGTCTTATTGAACTCTTACTAAAAAATTTCCCCTCTTGATTATACTTGTAAGGGTTTTTTCTTCAATGTGTTATCAAATGTACGAAAGAAAATCTTTCATTCAAAAATTCATTCAATTCAATTCACAGAGTTTCTCTTCACTATGGCTCCTCTGGTGTTGAAGCAGGGCTGAGTGACCACTATAAGCTTTTCCACAGTCACTGCATATAAAGCGTTTCTCTCCACTGTGCATTCTCTGATGAATAATAAGAGAAGAATTCTTACAAAAAGCCTTCTCACAATGACTACATTTGTAGGGTTTTTCTCCAGTATGGTTTCTCAGATGTACAATAAGGGACGAACTCTCATTAAATGCTTTCCCACATTCGTTGCACCTATATGGTTTCTCTCCAGTGTGAGTTCTCCGGTGCGCAATAAGGTGAGAGCTACAGTTAAAGGATCTTTCACATTGATTACATTTATAGGGCTTCTCACCAGTATGAATTCTCCGATGAGCAACCAGGTGACAGCTCTGGCTGAAAGATTTCCCACATTTATTGCATTCATAGGGCTTTTCTCCAGTGTGAGTCCTTTGATGTCTAACAAGATGAGCCATCTGGCTGCAGGATTTTCCACATTTATTACATTCATAAGGCTTAATTCCAGAATGAATAATTTCATGTTTAGTGAGGGCTGAGCGTTCTCTGAATGCTTTGCCACATTCCTGACAGTTATAGGGTTTCTCTCCCGTGTGAGTTCTCTGATGGGCAATAAGGTGGGAGCTCCAGCTGAAGGATTTTCCACATTCAGTACATTTATATGGTTTTGCTCCAGAGTGAGTTCTTTCATGTTTACTAAGGGCTGAGTAATCCCTAAAAGCTTTTTCACATTCATCACATTTAAAGGGTTTCTCTCCAGTATGCATTCTCATGTGGGCAATAAGATGGGAGCTCCAGCTGAAAGATTTCCCGCATTCACTACATTCAAAGGGTTTCTCTCCAGTATGAGTTCTCTGATGTCCAATAAGATGGGAATTCCAGTTGAAAGACTTCCCACATTCATTGCATACGTAAGGTTTCTCTCCTGTATGAATTCTCGTATGCACAATAAGATGAGAATTCCAGCTGAAGGCTTTTCCACATTTATTACATTCATAGGGTTTTATTCCAGTGTGAGTCCGTTCATGTTTAGTAAGGGCTGAACGATTCCTAAACACTTTTCCACATTTATCACATTCATAGGGCTTCTCTCCGGTATAAGTTTTCTTATGCTGGATAAGATAAGAGCTCCAGATGAACGATGTCCCACATTCATTGTATTCATAGGGTTTCTCTGCAGTGTAAGTGCTTGTATGTTGAGTGAGGAATGAGTCATACCCAAAGACTTTCTCCCATTCATTGTATTTATATGCTTTCTCTACAGTGCCAATTTTTTGATGCTCCATAAAGGATGAGAAGTAAAAGATATTCTCATATTCTTTGTAACCATACTGGTTTTCTCCAATATGAGGTCTTGAATGTTCATTAAAGGATGGGCTCTGGTTAAAGATTTGATGGTATTCCTTATATTCATAGAGTTTTCCTCCTGTATGCATTCCATTATGATCACCAAAATGTAGTATATGATTGAAAGATTTAATAGCATCAGTACATTTGAAAAGGTTATCTCCAGTTTGCATCCTTGAAGGGTGAATAGGTTGCACAGACTGGCAGAAGGCTTTGTCATAATCATTACTTTCACAAGTAATCTTATCTGCATACATTATGGCTGAATTACATCTCCAACTTTCAGCATTTGTATCAGGCTTATAGAAATGTTCTATTTGAGAAAATCTCTTAGATGGAACAAAGTTTAAGCTCTGGCTACACTCTGCCCCAAGTTCACAGAACTCAGAGCCTCTTTGAGATAGTACTTGCTTTTGCATGAAGACCATCTGCCTCATAGCTGTACTCTGGCTCATGTGGTACATTTCTAATTGGTCTTTACATCCCAAAATTTCTAACTTGGAGAACCAAGGATCATCCCATACGTTCAAGTTATGGGATTGTTCTTCCTCAAAAATGCTCTGCGTTGGGATCAATGCTTTGCTTTCAAGTTTTCTCATCATTTCTGAAATAAACAGAAAAAAGCTGTGAGAACACAGAGAAAGAATTTCTAAGAATAGAATGGAAACAGTGATTTTTTTTTTGTCCATATTATTGAAAAGGCAAGTCTGAACTTGTTTTCAAATAGACTTGTAATACACAGAAACATCACAATAGGGAGGAGGAGAACAGTGAAAACTGAACAAAAGTAGGTAACCAAAATATAAAGTGTTTGCTTAAATACTGATAAAATCCATTCAAGAGTATTTTCCCATGAACATGGGGACCAGAGTAAGGGTGTGCAGGAAAGCAATAACAAAAGATAGATGAGCAACCAGGCCCTTAACAAATAATGTTTACATTACCAAGGTGTCTTAATTTATTTATGTGTTATAATGCCCTTACTGCTCCCGTTTTGACACCTACCAAAATAGGAGGGGGTAGCATTAAAAGAAATCACCAACAGGGGCTTCAAACCAGGATGTTATCTATGAAAATATGCTATCACATTACTTCCTACTCCATAGAGTTCAGTCAATAACACAAAATTCATTAGCCCAACGGGCAAAAGTCACACCATTTAAGGACAATCCTAAAGTTCTTCTAACAACTATGGAATCATTTGTGGAGCAATGACACAAGAGATGAACTTGAAAGGCAGTATATTGTGATAAAACAGATATATGAGTTATAGTCTGATAATCTGTATTTAAATACTGACTCTGCCACTGTCATTAGAGGACTTTTCTGATGATTAAATGAGATTGTGAATACAGTGAAATGTCTGGCAAATTCAATATATGAAGCCAACTGTCATCAATGCTGAGGTATCAGTCCTCCAACAACTGAAGGGGTCTGCATTAGTTTGCTGCTGCTACTGCAACAAACTACCACACCCATCAAGTAGAGGCTTCAAATAACACAAACTTACTATCATACAGTCTGGAAGTCAAAATCCAAAATGGCTTTCACTGGGCTAAAATCAAAATAGCTTCCCTTCAAAACTCTAGGGGAGAATCCACATCCTTGCCTTTTCTTCTTTTAGAAGATGCCTGCATTCCTTGGCTTGTGCCTCCTTCCTCTACAAGGAGGGACAATTAAGTTCGCGAACTCATCCTAGAAAAACTGCTACATATCTCATTGCTGAATATCAGTATGGGTCACCTTCAAAGGGCTTCCTGTGGGAAGCTATGCACCGACGCCAGCGACTAGTCCACCCTTCAGAGAAATTCTGCAACTCTTTCTGGAATGGCCATCACAGTTGTCATTGTATTACCCTTGATGTCCTGAATGTCATCAAAATGTCTTCCTTTCAATATTTCATTTATCTTTGGGTAAAGAAAGAAGTCGTTGGGGGCCAGATCAGGTAGGTAGGGAGGGTGTTCCAACACAGTTATTTGTTTACTGGCTAAAAACACCCTCACAAACAGTGCTGTGTGAGCTGATGCATTGTCATGATGCAAGAGCCATGAATTGTTGGTGAAAATTTAGGTCATCGAACTTTTTCACGTGGCCTTTTCCAAATAGTAAATTTGGTTAGCTGTTTGTCTAGTTGGTACAAATTCATAATGAATAATCCCTCTGATATATAAAAAAAGGTTACCAACGTCACTGCAACATGTTCACGAACTTAATTGTCACCTTCATATCTTCAAAGCACATAATTTTGGCCTCTGCTTCTGTCAACCACATCTCTTCTCTGTGTTTCAGCCACTACTGCTTCATTCATATCAGGACCACATGATTATGATGGATCCATCCAGGTAATATGCAATAATCTCTCCATCTCAAGTTCTTTCATTTATTCACATCTGAAAAGCCCTCTTTGCTATATAAGATGCCAGGTTCACAGGTTTAGGAGTGAACATGTTTTTCTGGGGGGAGTGTCATCATTCAGCCTAACTCAGAGTCTAAAGCTGCAGGTACAAAACAGGACCTAGACCCTGTCCTCTTTCTCTAGGTTTTTCTTGTTCTCTCTTCACCACACATCATTTTCCCCCTTTTACTATCCAAGTCCATTACAACAGAAGCTCTACTTTGCTCAAGAACTGGCACTTATTACCAATTTCAAGCTTAGCTCCTATAAGTTAGGAAATAATCTTCATATAGCTTTTGAACCCTTCCAGTAAAAACTCCTAAAAATGGTAGCCGACCAACGCACTGACCAAATAAACACTTCTTGTCCAATTTTACACCCTTCTGGCCTGAGTATCCAGAACCAGAGAAAAGACAAGAAAGTACAGATGTAAAGACCAACTATAACTTTCACCTGGAAGTTAGAATCTCTGTAATGAGAGGACATACTAAACAGTTATGCACAATGCATACCATGTACCACTAAGGAACTGTGGGATTATGGGTACTAAATGGGTAGAAGATCGGAAAGATTAGCACTGACAGAGGCAATTAAGGAAGGCTTCACACAGAGTAATAACATGAGTTCAGCCTTCGATCACGACTCAAATGCAGACCCGCAGACAAACCGTTAGTAAGTACAGCAGGGGGAAAGGCATGATGTGACTAATGTTTGATGAAGATAAGTGAGATGCCAGCTCAGTAAGCTGCAGGAATTAGTCAGGAAATGAGAAAAATAACAGAAAAAATTGGAAGGTATNTCTGTTCCCCTCCCCCAATTCCCCAATAATAAAATCTTTGGGGAAAAAAACAACTACATAAAGTAATTATAAGTATATGGTAAGGGGCACATAATGTATAGGTGTGACCTATGACAATAGTAGTAGAAAAGGGGGAAGACAGAGCTACACAGAAGCAAAGCTTTAAATACTATCAAAATTAAATTGGTATTAATTCAAACTTGATTATTAGAGGTCAAGATGTTAATTATAATCTGCATGGCAACCACTAATAAAAGAACTCAAAAATTCATAGGAAAAAAAAGTGGTTTTGTGTGTGTGTGTGTGTGTGTGTGTGAGGGTAACAATAATGTGGTTAAGAGGAGAGAATAATAATGAGATTTTTTTTTCACCTTACCTATTTTATATCTTTGAGTTTTTTCAACCATGTGAATACATTACACCTACGTTAAAAAAAACAATGTTCTTGGTTTTTTTAAAGAGCCTGTGGCATAGGGAATAGAATCAATGGAAAACAGAATTTTAACAGCTTTATACGATGTCAGAGGGGTAGTAGATTGGGGGAAAGGGGTTGTCACTTTGTGAGGGGTATAAATGTCTAACAATTTAGGTGTACATTGTTTTGTACACCTAAAACAAATTAAAAAAAACCAAAACCTCTCAGTGGCACTGCAGGACATATACTTGGGATCAAGTTCTAAAAATAAAATAGGTCAAAAAAGTAAAAATAGTCACTGATGTGCATCTTTCTGGATTTCAGAAAGTCCAGTATTTTTGGTCGATGACTGTCCCTGCTCCCAGATATGGTTGTAGAATGCCAAGGTCAGTCTCCTTACAATATGGAAGGGAGTCGGAGAGTTAAAGCAAGAGAGGCTGCTGGGGCACTATACTGGCCCCAGAGTGAAAGTGAACCCCAGGCTCCAGCTGTTACTTCTAGGTAGATGAAGCCTGCCTTGGGTGAGACTTCTGGAGTCTAGTTCTGGTTTCTGGTAGGGATATCCAGGTCAGGGATACCTAAAGCCTTGATAGCCCAAGGAGCTCAATTTTCCCACCATGAGCACAGAGAATTTCCTAAGCATATTTTCTAGCCTCTAGGATAGTGTGTGTTGATTCTTCCTCCTCCCACCACCTCACAGACCCAGGAGTTGCCCAGAGAGGGCCACCCCGCAGGATGGAAAGCAGGCTTCCTAGCTCCTGTGAATTTAAGGGAAATAATGAAATGTCCCCTGTTTAGTGACCACTGTTTATAGATGAAAGTTGAGTCCGTATCCTGCCCCTTCCCTTGTTACTATTTTTCCAACTTGCAAATGGCAAATGAGAGAAATAAAAAAAAAGGAGAAGAGTCTATGGCTATAGAAAACAAGTTTGACGATAAATGAAGTAAAACGAAATTAAAAAGCAGGTTACAAAATGAGAAGTCATCTGAGAGAAAGGCATAGCAGAGAATTTGAGAGGTATCAGGAGAGCAGATGGCAAGGAAAGAAAGTGCAGTTTACAATAACTCACCTTGTTAAAAAAGTGGGCATATCTGCTCTGAATCAACAGCAGCAAAAAAAACAATGCAGGGGGCGGCCGAATGGCTCAGCTGGTTAAGAGTTGGCTTAACAGCACAAGCTCTGAGCAACAGGGCCACCGGTTCGATTCCCACATGGGCCAGTGACGCTGCACCCGAGCTGAGCTGTCGCTGAGCTGCCAACAGGTGGCAGGATGGCTCAGCTGGTGTAACAACAAGACTGTCTGTTCAGTGGTGGGCTATGCCCACCCACAACTAAGACTGAACTCGACACCTTGAGCTGAACTGCCGCCAGAATGGCTCAGTGAATAGAGCGTGTGCTCTTAACAACAAGGCTGCTGGTTCAACTCCTGCATAGGATGGTGGCTATGCCCACCCGCAACTAAGATTGAACACAGCACCGTGAGCTTAGAGGCCACAAGCTGCCAACGGGAAGCCAGATGGCGACTGGAGCCCTCCACAACGAAGACTGAAGAAAAACAACTTGGCTGGTCCCCTCCCTCAATTCCCCAACACTGTTCCCCTCCCCCAATTCCCCAATAAAATCTTTAAAAAAAAAAAGAGGCAAGGGATAAGGCTCTTGGAGGGAACTGTGTGTGTCTCAGGAAGGTGACTCCTCATGGCCTCAGCCCATTTCTCTATTAAGGTGCGCTTGGGGAAAGGTTTCTTACTCCCACCTGGGGCCCGTTCTCACCTGGACAGGTGCTCTGAGGATATATGTGATCCACCAACCATGGCTCTTCTCCTTGCTCCAACAGGGAGATGACCTCAGGCTTGGCAATCTGCTTCCCTACACGTGAGGAAAAACACGGACTCATGTAGCCTAGAAAGCTTTTCTTGCCTTTTCCTCCCTGACCTGTCACTTGGGCAGAATAAGCAGCACCCCCTCCCCCCACTTCTTGCTTTATAAACGTTAGGAATTTCATCCTTGACGCTTAGGGCTCAAGGTCAACTGAGCCCTCCTGAGGTCCTTGTGCCTTAAACACGGAGCACAGAAGGTACTGCAGTGGAAATAGCTTCATTTACATGGGCAGCACCTGCCTTACCCACAGAGAGCAGGTGCCCGTAGGTCTCCAGCATCACGTCACGGTACAGGGTCCTCTGGGCGGGGCCCAGCTGCCCCCACTCCTCCTGGGTGAAGTCTACTGCCACGTCCCGGAAGGTCACTGGTTCCTAAAAGAGCACACATGTTCCTCCTCAGCCTGGAGCCACCCCCTCCAGTGTTTTCTGAGAATGAAGGGAGGTGGACAGCCCTGAGAAGGAGACAGGATGTAGGGCAATAGCCATGCATATCTTTAATATTCTGATGGGGGTCAGGTCTCACTGGGAGCCACCCAGGGACCCAAATCTTGGATATGCTCTTAGGAATTAGCCATCTGGGCCACAATAACCACAACAAAGATGAGCAGGTCGCTCCCAAGACTCTTGCCCAATCCTAGTGATACTGGCCAGTGTGGACAGGATTTCCACTAAGGCAAGGCCCCTTCTCTGGAGATATATGCATAGATACTTAATAAGGCCATGATCAGGTGGATGCACATTACAACCTTTGACCAGACCAGAGACTTTGGGGCTAGGACCTGGAAGGGTGATCTAAACACTCACAGCCTGTATTCCTGGACACAGTAAGAAATTTTCTGTCCCCAGGTCATCTCTGTCCGAAGGACTGGAGCTAAGGTCGGGCAGGATTGAGCCAAGGACAATCAGTCACAGTTGCTGTCAAAAGCACTCAGGGCCGGCCGAGTGGCGCATTGGTTAAGAGCTGGCTTGGGACGTCAGAGGGCCCCGGTTCGGATCCCACATATGAGGGCCAGTGACACTGCCCTCTACAGCTAAGATGCTGAACAACAGCTCAACCTGGAGCTGGGTTGNACCGAAACCTTTGAAGAATGTTCTAATTTGGTGGAAAGATATTCAAACTAATCAATGGCATCTAGGAACCTTACTAACATGGGGACGAGGCTTTGCTTGTATTTCTCCAGGCCCAGAAGAATGTCCTTTGTGAGTACCTGGTTGGTGTGTCAAACCCTACCACGAACAACAGCCCACCAAAAATTGACTTGACTGGCAGCCAAAAAAAGAAAAACAACCAGCGGAAAAGACACATGGCTGAGACCATTCACGGGATCAGATGTCTAACTCCAAACTCCAGCTCCTCCCTGGAGAAGAGACATTCTCAGTGGCTGCGGAAGGACTCTGTGCTTTAAATTCCATTAGTTGGATAAAACTTTGGTTGGGTTTGCGGGTGCAATGGCAATTCTGTTTAATATTCTTTGTTTCGTTTAGTTCTCAAATGTGAACAAAAAGCCCTCCGAAAGGCATTGAATGAAAAATCCACTAAGTCTGTGTTTCTCATGCTGCAAAAAAACAGAAAAGGGGAGATGTTGCCACGCAGCTGTCCAGCCATCTGTCCCCCCCGTGCTTAACCCTAAACTGACCCTTTTGAGGACACTGCTCATACACCTTGCGTCTCCTGTTTGGCCCCAAAGGATGGCTGGTTAGTCAATAACGGGTAAGATTCCTCGAGGAAGGAACAACCTAAGCCAGGCACAGTCACATGGGGGCCATCAGGAGAAATCTTGGGGCTGATGGAGGTGGGCATGAGCCCTCACCCACCCCCAAAGAGACTGGAGAGTTTCTACCTCTGTAGCTACATTCCTTCCCTCAACCTGCTTGGGAAGTGACCAGGTGGTGTGATAGTATCTGTCCTCAGCATAATAATCTTATCTTCCTAGGGTTGTATGCATATAGGGTGTGTGAAAGCAGAGTATCTGTCTTATCACTGCAGGCAGACTCTCGGTAATAGCAGCTTGCAGGCATGGGTAATCTGGCTTGAGCAAGTTCTCAGGAATGAGACTCACAGACTGTGGCGAGAACAATGCTACTTCCAGGTATGTGGAGAAATAAAAGCGGCATGTTGGCCCGATTCGGGGCTCCTTAGTCCACGAGGCTGGAGACTCTTGGCCCCACACTCATTTAACTATTGGCTGCTGTTTCTTTTCTTTCTTAACCTTTTGCCGCCCCCTCTCATTCTCCCACTGCCCATGTCATGCGGGACATGACACCATAACACCTGAGGTGGCTATTAACAAGAATTTAATCATCAACTTGAGCTGCAATTTTATGAGGAAGGGACCTGAGAGTGGTGTTGGTGGAAGCTTAATGACACAGCTGACATGTCAGAGGATGAAAAAATCTCAGGACTTAGAAGAGAGGTTAATTCTGGGAGAGGAAAGAACAGAAAGTCAGGACGACTTCTCAGTTTCTAGCTTAGAGGACTCACTGAAGGCTGGTACCAGGGATACTCATCAGGAAGATGGGGAGACATAATCTAGAAGGAAGGGATGAGAGTCCTGGTTGTATTGAGATCAAGGAGATGGCTGAGATGATTTGCAAGATGGTAGAAGTTTAAGAATGGAGGTGCTAGAACCACAGGGCTCAGGATGGCAACTTAGAATGATCAGCACTAAGGGTGGGAGAGTTAAAGCTGCCAGAATTCAGGAGTCCTTACAATGTTTCAGGTCTGAATAGGGAGCAACTTATGAGACTCCACAAAAGGAGTCATTAGAGTGGATGGGAAGTCGTCCACCTTCAGGACTCAAGAGAGGTATGGTACATTGTTAAGTTAAAAACAGTATGATACAGAACAGTGTGTGTTGTATTCTACCTTTCGAAAGGTGAAAAGTAACTAACTCTACATGGTTGTAGTTGCATAAAAAAAAAAAAAAAACCTCTGGAAATATACAATATAAACACTGAAAGTGATTACCTGGGACAAGATGTGAAAATGGCAAAACGAGGACCTCTGAAATTTCGTTCCTCCATGAAAGCAACCAAAAAACTGTCAGAAGCTGTTGGAATCAACTGCTTCAGAATTCTATAAATTATCCAAAGCTTTGCAACATCCCAGGGAAAGTTTACTAAAGAAAAGCCTGAATTTTTATAATAACTGAGTTTTGTGGCATTTTCACCTACCCTAGTCCCATCTCTGGCTCCCCAACTCAGTAGTAGCCTTGGAAAATAACATCCCATATTTCTGGTTCTAGAAGAAACAGAACAAAGCTGGAGCTTTTTCAAAGCCTCATCCCCAAAGAATCTTTATTTGACCTGTCTGGTGGTTCCCTAGAAGACCCCGCTTGAAAGGCTTGTTGGGAACTTGCATAGTGCTAAAAGCTTCTAGGGAGCAGGTATCTATCTGTCAAATGTTTTCAGGCAATGTTTTAAAGTCACTACTGTCTGAGATGATGGGAATCAGTTGGGGCAAACAATACACAAACCAAAAAAATGAAAAGAAAAGTCAAGCAGTGAGATGTCCTTGGGGGCTCTGAGAAGTTCTAACGTATCCTGGGAATCTAGAAGGCCACATGCAAACACATCGTAATGAAACTGCCAAAAGCTCAAGCCAAAGTGAGAATCCTGAAAGCAGCAGGAGAGAAGCAACTCATCACAGACAAGTGGTCCTCATGAGACTAACAGCTTATTTCTCATCAGAAACCAGGGAGGTCAGAAAGAAAAACTATCAATAAATTCTATATCTGGCAAAACTATCCTTCAAAAATGGAGAAATCAAGACATTCCCAGATAAACAAAATGGGAGAATTTGCTGCTAGCAAACCTGCCCTACGAGAAATGCTAAAGGGAGTCCTTTAGGTTGAAATGAAAGGACACTAGATAGTAACTCAAAATATAAAACACCAATAAAGGTAATCATATAGGTAAATATAGCAAGACTGTAAGTGCATTTTTGGTTTATAACTCCTATTTTTTCTATCTTATTTAAAAATCAACTACATAGGGCCAGCCGAGTGGTGCACTGGTTAGGAGTTGGCTTGGGACGCCAGCTCTGAGCAGCAGGGCCCCGGTTCAGATCCCACATGAGGGCCAGTGACGCTGCGCCCTCTATNGGACAAAAAGGATTTTTACAACCCTAAATTACAGATATTCCAGTTAATATTTGGGGAAGAGATTTACTTACACAATGGGAGGCAGAGATTTGAATACCTCCTCAAAATAAAAAATTATTGAGTTATGGGATTTATGTCAGGAAAAAGTTTAGAAAAATTTAACCAGGGGATTACTCAACCCAATCAGCCTTCATCTCAGCAAGGACAAGAGGGATTAGGTTATCGGACAGAGACGCAAGAGCATTTTTTGTAGGGGCCACTGTCACAGAGCTATGAACTCCTGTGGCTCTTAAATGGTAAAAAACATGCCTCTATGAATCGAGCAGTGGCCCCTCTCTCAGGAAAAATTATAGGCTCTAGCAGAATTAGTACAGACTCAATTAGAATTAGATCACATAGAACCTTCTACAAGTCGCTGGAACTCACCAGTATTTGTTATTAAAAAGAAGTCAGGGAAATGGCGAATGCTCACTGACCTCCAAGCAGTTAATGCTCTCATTGAGCCCATGGGTGCTTTACAGCCTGGACTCCCACAACCGTCCATGATTCCAAAAAATTGGCCTTTAATAGTAATTGATCTACAGGATTGTTTTTATACAATCCCTTTGCATCCTCAAGATTGTCCTCGATTTGCATTTTCTATTCCTGCAACTAATAATAAAGAACCTATGAGGAGATATCAATGGAAAGTTCTACCTCAGGGAATGCTTTATAGCCCAACCATATGTCACCTTTTTGTAGACAGAGCTGTTCTCCCTGTAAGAAATGAATTTCCAGATTGCTATATCATCCATTACATGGATGATATTCTCTGTGCTGCACCTTCCACAGAAAATTTAGCAGCATGCTTTGAGTCACTTAAAAAACAACTCGACTCAGCAGGGCTTTGTATCGCTCCAGATAAAATTCAAACCACAATGCCAGTACAATATTTAGGGTTTATTCAACCTCAGAAAGTTCAAATAAGAAGAGATAAAATCTCCACCTTAAATGATGTACAAAAACTTTTAGGAGACATTAATTGGCTACACCCTACTTTGGGCATTCCCACATAAGCCCTCAGTAATCTGTTCACTCTTTTAAGAGGACCACCTCAACTACATAGTCCTTGCAATTTAACCCCTCAGGCTAATCAGGAATTAGAATTTGTAGAGCAAAAGACTCAAGAAGTTCAAATTCAGTTTATAGATCCTTTTCAACCTTTACAAATTTTAATTTTTCCTACTCCGCACTCGCCTAGGCGGTAATTGTTCAGAAAAATGACCTGGT